ACTATAGTAATTGAGCAAGTGCAGAATCACTGAACCGGAATCGATAGCTTGAAAGCATTTAGCGCTTTGAAAGTGCGGGGCCCGTAGCTACAACATATGTAGTAGCTGCATGTGTAGTAGCTGCATGTGTAGTAGCTGCACGTGTAGTAGCTGCACGTGTAGTAGCTGCACGTGTAGTAGCTGCACGTGTAGTAGCTGCATTTGTAGTAGCTGCATGTGTAGTAGCTGCATGTGTGGTAGTAGCTACATGTGTAGTAGTAGCTACATGTGTAGTAGCTGCATATGTAGTAGCTGCATATGTAGTAGCTGCATGTGTAGTAGCTGCATGTGTAGTAGCTGCATGTGTAGTAGCTGCATGTACCTTACGACCGTTGGAATACATTATGTCAGAAAAATTGTGTTGACCAGTGTTATTCTTTTTTTTTACTTTTCGTAACAGCTATTCTCATTGGAGTATTACAGGTGAGGCTCTGTCTCCCCTGCCTCCCCTGATCGCACGCCCCTGGTAGCTACTTTTGCTACGAGAATAATCCGGCGGTGGTCACTGCCGTTTGCCGAACCCTCACCACGACAACAACTACGACGCTGGGTCGACGTTTCGCTGCACCAACATCCCTCGAAACGGCGGTGGAAATTCCACGTTAGTATGCCGGGCGCCGCGCCGGTTTTCATCTCGCGTAAACCGACGACATTGCACGGTTTAGCTTGAATGCGGCCGACGGTCCGATGCACGTACCCCCTCTAATAGCAGTGATAATGATCCAAGATTAAATTTCTCATTTCCTGAGCAGTCCCAGACATGTTGTCAACGGTCTTGTAATCATACACGTCTCACCGTGCGTGTGTGTGTGCCTCAAGGCTATCTCCGTCTCTCTAGCAGGGGCTGTGGTGGCTACGTTACCGATGGCTAGGAGATGTTAACTACCTCGCCTGGTGTACAGGAGGTCGTGGGTTCGATCCCGGCCCTGACGCCTGCTGCTGTATATTTGGAGTTTGCGTCTTTCATCATCACCACAGTGGCTAGGAGATGTCAACTACCTCGCCTGGTACACAGGAGGTCGTGGGTTCGATCCCGACCCTGACACCTGCTGCTGTATATTTGGAGTTTGCGTCTTTCATCATCATCACGGTGGCTCGGAGATGTTAACTACCTCGCCTGGTATACAGGAGGTCGTGGGTTCGATCCCGACCCTGACGCCTGCTGTATATTTGGAGTTTGCGTCTTTCACCATCATCACAGTGGCTAGGAGATGTTAACTACCTCGCCTGGTACACAGGAGGTCGTGGGTTCGATCCCGACCCTGAATCAACGTCACCCGTTACGCATTGTACCATTTCGTCTAATGTGTAACATCGGCATATCCAAGGAGCGAGAGGCGGGTGATAACACAGAAGCCACACAGTCGCTATGCCTACAGCGAATATATCGGTGATTAGGGAGGCAGGCGAGTGATGTGGGTACAGGAGGATGTGGAGCTGAGTGGACTTGCCGATGACTGGTACCAGCGGTGTCAAGATCGACCTCTGTGGAGGAGGCTCGTGAAGGACGCTACTGGGCAGTTGGAGGCAGTCGCCCTCCAGCAACAACGGAGGACAGAAGAGCGATGCTCACAACAACGAGCGAAAGCCGGGCGGATAAAGCACAGCAAGTTGACACAGTAGGGGGGCACAGGTGGTGCATCAGCCAGCCATCTCGGTCATCTCAGTCAGTCGACCCGTGGCACCTGCTGGGTCTGCCCCGTGACCTCCTGCCAGCGGGCGTTCGACACTTCACGTGGCCTCAACGTGCACCTAGCCTGGCACAGGCGCCGTGGTGACGCCACCGCCACTAAGTGACGAATGGCGGTTTGTGTGTGTCTGTGTGTACCTGGTTCGGTGTGATAAACATCGTCACTGGGGGAGACAAAGGCGGCCGGGCGTGGTGCTTGGCCACCCACCTCTTTGCTGTTGCTACTCGCTATGACCCCCCCCTCGGCGTGGATGGAGAGTGTGTGTGTGTGATGATGTGTGTGTGTGATGATGTGTGTGTGTGATGATGTGTGTGTGTGTGTCGGATGATGTGTGTGTGTGTGTGTGATGATGTGTGTGTGTGATGGTGTGTGTGTGTGATGGTGTGTGTGTGCTGGTGTGTGTGTGATGATGTGTGTGTGTGTGAGGAGCGGTAGTGTAGCGGTTAGCGCGCTGCGCTATGAACCTGGCGACCCGGGTTCGATTCCCGCTCACGGCTAACACCAGTGACGATTATCTGAACCGGTCCTGGGCCTCCCCTAGGTCGACTCAGCCTTAAATGAGTACCTGGTGTGGTGTGTAAACATCGCCACTAGGGAGACAAAGGCGGTCGGGCGTGGTGCTGGCCACCCACCCCCTCGTGTACCGTTCCGGCCTTCATAGGTGCTTGCTAACAGCACTTGCCCCTACAGTCTGTTCAGGCTATACGGGGGATCTTTGTTGTGTGTGATGATGTGTGTGTGTGTGTGATGATGTGTGTGTGTGGTGATGGTGTGTGTGTGATGGTGTGTGTGTGATGATGTGTGTGTGTGTGATGGTGTGTGTGTGATGATGTGTGTGTGTGTGTGTGATGGTGTGTGTGTGTGTGATGATATGTG